TTAAACGACAACGAGTATAGTAAAACAATCACTGGTACAATTGGTCATAATAGTAATTCTTTCTATTGTACCAATCGCATTCTCGTCGAGAAAAGCAGGTCACTACAAACTATTCAATCTGTTACATTGAGCCAGTTTCAAAGGCTTCGATTTTAAGCATTCAAGGGTTTTGGATTGTAAGCAAATGAGAGAATAATCAATAAGAGATTCTGGGGTCATGATCTACAAACTAATGCATATTACATATAAATCTTCACAAGTATACAGTGATATACTGAAACATTCACATCATTCATTTCTCTAGCTACTAACCTCACTATTCTGTTTTAAATCAATGTAATATATTACAACTGAAATATATGGTACTAATGATTACATCTCAGTCCTACAGGGAGACGGTCGCGGCCTGAATAGCTCAGTGGTAACGTCTCTGACTATGAAGCTTGGTGATACCGGATGAAATCCGTCAGGGGGAACAAGTTCCCTCAAAATTATAGGCATACCTTTCTGACGACGGCCTAGTATCACGAAACACAGGTCCAGGGTTTCTGGTTGACCACGTACAACCACCATTTTATTACATATGTGTGTCCAGTATTCTCATCTATACTCAACAACTTCAGAATATCTTTAGAAGAATACAGAGATATACTGAAACATTCACATCATTCATTTCTCTAGCTACTAACCTCCCTATTCTGTTTTAACTGAAGATATATATTACAACTGAAATATATGGTACTATTGGTTACACATGTGTGTCAAGTATTCTTATGCTGATCTATACTCAACTACATCAGAATATTCCTCACAAGTTAAAAAATCACCATTTGAATAATCTTAGGTAACAGTGACGGCTTGTTCGACCCGGTAGTGTCTATAAGTCCTATTGCCCATAACTTAGAATAAATTCTCTCTATAACGAAGTACCATTTGGACATTCAATCATAGTGAATTCAGTTATGGCAAGATATTTTCTCGTTCACTACAGCCAATTCGACATCTACTGTAAATCGATTTGGTTAAGAAAATAGACATTTTCGCTAGATAAATTTTGTTACTTGTTTCATTGAGGTCGATGTACACATATTACGTTGATAAGATAAACTTACATATTATGTGTTTACAAGTTTGACGATTATTTAACCGATTTGGTAAAAGAAAGTGAGAACATTGTAAATTAGGGGATCATGGGGAACTCTTTCTTCTTACTTTGGAACTCCGACGACACCAATAAAATCTCCATGAGTCACAATCACAAAATTAACATCTCTGAACGGGTACTGTACTTACAGACTGGTGAGTTGAAGTACTAGAATACAAACTGGAAACTATATCCCACCCTCCATAGAGATCAGCCCTAAATTTGGTCATCAGTCTTCCTCATTCAGACCATTGGTGAGCGCAAGATACCGGAAAAAAATTATCGTGATTACTTCCTACTTTCTTCCACATGGTCATTCGATGATCCTGGATCCATGACATTCCTACTCAATAAGTGCATTTCATGATTATGAGTCCAGCATTAAGGAAACTCACTGAGTGTGTAAAGCATGCTCATCATCGTAATCAGAGTGCAGCAGCATCTCTTCCGAATCCAATCTCCGCTATACAGCTTTCCTCCAATATATTACACTTATTCTGAGCACCACAAATTTATATCTCCTTATTTATAAAGCTATTTGATCACTCCTCTCGGTCGCTCGAATTCTCCAAACATTTCATGTAATCATATTATTTGATGTTCTGGTTGTTAGAAGAGACATCGGTCTCGTGAATTCAGGCATAATAACTCTTAGAAATAGATATATTTATACTACCAAAGAAGAGTTTCAAATTTACATTGTGGTTTGCGTTGTGTTCTACTCAATCTGTGTCCGGGATTCGGAAACACACTAGCCATAGAAGAGCGACAAGCAGGATTGTGATGTCATAAAACGCGTTAAATATAACGTGGTAAAATCTCCAATCTGCATACCGACTTATGTGATTTGTCTCCGTGCTGAACCAGTGATGCACAGACCAACACGAACAGCCTCAAGTCAACTACAAGTCCTTACCTCTCCTCTTTACAATAACTTCTCACCTAGCCCATCTCACTCAGTCCACAACACAAATACCAGCCTCTGTTGTGTGAATCGTATATTTCAGACCAACCTAGTCTATAAAAAGGCAGACCTGACTGCATCACACCATGAAATACAAGATTAAGAGAAACGTGACTATCAGTGTGAGAGACTATCGCTAATCGATTGAGAATGGATTAAGAATACTAAACCATCTAACAGTAGCCACTGGGTAAAATGATAGCTTATGGTAGAAGGCGGAATATGAACATATATACATACATAGTCTAGTTTCGTAATAATTTACAATGCGAATGTGTATTTTAAAAGTCCATTACAACTCCTAACAGTCACCATTCATTTATTCTTCGTTCGGATATAACAATTATACTCAGTAATATGGTTGACTGAATGGAGTAACATAGAAATTGAATTATTACTAATAAGGATGGTAACAGTTTAATTATCGATTTACCATTGACTGTTATATCAACAAATAAAATGAACTTATTGCAAGCAGTGTCCAGCCACCTAAACTAGTGGTCACATTGCAACGTGATCGATAGCATTCGATCAGCACTAAGAAGGAGTTGACACGCATGACATTGATCACCATCTAGTGATCAATAAATTGTGATTAAAATCACTGAAACTTATTGACCTTTGCTCCAATTGTCTAAAATCACTTTGAATTAATTCATTTTGTAAAATGTAAAGCTTAGTTAATCAATCAACAAATCAATTGTCTCGGATACAACGAATTAATGTTAAGGAATTGATGTGTGTCTGACACTTATTGGTTGTTTAGTTCTCTGATTCCTGGAGGTCACTTTTAGTCACACACTTATATCATTTGAAGACTAAGGAAGATATCTCTTCATAAGTGCGAAAATTACAAAAGACTTCAGTGTTCGGGTGATTTTCACTGTACTCAAAGCTTAAACCTAAATGAATACAGTTCAGTAATCAAACAGCTCTGTAAGATGAAGAGGTTTGTGGAGATTGATTAGCTCCAGCATCGTAAGCACAAATGATCAATATGAAGTGAAAGATCTCCGAAGATCACAAATAATTGGACAGCCTGTAACAACTAATGTTGACTGGTTAACAGTTGACCGCAAACAACTACGTGAATTTCATGCAGTTATTTCCCTTTATGAATTTAAATGAAGATAGAACAAATATTGATGCAGAATAATATGAATTCATTATATTTCGTGGTTTCTCATCAGCTGCTTACAACCAAATATGCATTAGAGTTTCAGCATTAGGGTAATAAATAGAATGGAACAACTAACATAAGGGAATGTAAAGGATTGGAATAACAAAAGTCATCAATGATAACTATATCTATGGTCAAGGAAAGGTCAGAGGTTATTAGGTATTAGGATAAAAGGTGGCGTAATAGTTGAGTGGAGTTCAGAGACAGATAAAATCAAAAATGTGATTATTTTAGAGGTAGTTGAAAACAATTAGGGTGGGTTACGTAATAGTTGAATAAGATTTGGATAGTTCATATAATTAGGAGAGACAAATGAGCGGAAATGTGTGAGAAAAAGGGTGGTTTAAGAATTGCGTATAAAAAAAACAACTGAATATTAACCAAAATTGAACTAATAACAACAACAAAACTGAAACAAAAAAAAACAAACAAAACAAAAATGGGTTACCAAGGTAGTAATAAGTTTATCACTGTCTCTTTTTGAATACATAGATCCGGTTTGAGTTTTTTTATCGCGATCGCCTTAGCAAACCGGAGAGCAGTTGTACTTCTTTGTTTACTAATGATTTTAATGGCATTAGAAATGTCGATGCTGTGCCCGGTGTCGAGTAAATACCGAGCTATCGCACTGTTGAGAGCCCTGGACACTTGCAACCTCAGTTTCTTTGGAATATGCTCAGAAATGAGGATATGCACTGTTCTCTCGGTTCTTCCAATGTATGTGCTTCGGCACGTACATGTAAATTGGTAAATGCAGTTGGAGGTACTGAGAAAAGAGGACTTATCGATTTTGGTTTGTTTGAGTGAGCAATTTGTTTCCCACACCGTCGTCAATTTAGCTGATGGGTAGGTCACTTTCAACGCGGAATTAAGTCTATGGTTAATTATTCCAGCGATTTCGTCACCTTTGAAGCGTAGGTATAGGAAGCATGTTTTCTTTTCAACTCGATCATACTTTATTCGACGATTGGTGTTTGCATATTTGTGGATGAACTTCTGTGGATATGCATTTTCACGTAGGCATTTGATGATTAAAGCTATTTCTTCCTCAAGACACTCATTGGAGCAGATTTTGCGTGCGCGGTCAAAAAGGGTTCGTACAATACCCTTTTTGTAACTCATCGGGCAGAAACTGTAGTAATTGAGATACAGTCCACTCCAAGTGTTTTTGTGGTGAACATATCTTTGCAATGTACCCGCTGGTGTTCGTCTAATTCCAATATCTAGGAAATGGAATTTATTTTCGTCTTCATGTTCCATCGTAAATTCTATATCCTTGTGTGCTTTGTTAAATAAATTGAGCAGATTGATGGAGTGTTTATGATTGTTTTCAACTACCTCTATAAATTATTCAATTATTACGTAACCCACCCTAATTGTTTTCAACTACCTCTAACATAATCACATTTTGATTTTATCTGTCTCTGAACTCCACTCAACTATTACGCCACCTTTTATCCTAATACCTAATAACCTCTGACCTTTCCTTGACCATAGATATATATATACATATACATAGTTATCATTGATGACTTTTGATATTCCAATCCTTTACATTCCCTTATGTCAGTTGTTCCATTCTATTTATTACCCTAATGCTAAAACTCTAATGCATATTTGGTTGTAAGCAGCTGATGAGAAACCACGAAATATAATGAATTCATATTATTCTGCATCAATATTTGTTCTATCTTTATTTAAACTTAGTGAATGTCAGCACATTAGAGCTTCATTACACATTCACTTCCTTATATGATGTAGGGATTATATCTCCTATTATTTCATATAGAATATTGAAATGCTTTGTGTGTCTGGAATGATAACCTCGCTCAAAACTCCACATTCCACGATTCCACAATTGAGACTTATTCACTATTAGTCTGGTTTCGCCTGTCAGTAGAACGAAGCGTGTTGACCGGCAAGAAAATTCAACCATTCCCAGTTTGAAGTCTTCCATTTAGAAACTATAATTTACACATTCCAAACATCGATGTTCGAATGCAGGACCCTCAGCTATCACTGAAAAACCTGAATTTTATAGATTTCATTTATGGTGGATGCGCACATTTGCACTACTGAGTAGTTCCATACTGGAAAACGACAATCGTCCAGTGCTTCATTGTTTTCAATGTTAATATACTTTATGTAGATTCTTAATCTCACTAATATTCAACACACAACATAGACCTTCCACACTGAAATTCCAATCATATTAGGAGTAACATGGACATTACTGATGACAATGGATGGTGATCACATTATATTGTAAGCTGACGTAATTCAAAGACAAAGACTGGCTGTCTTCTTACTCCCATTTTTTTGGTTATTCAACTGACTAGTGTTTGTAGTGAAATGCAGAGTTTAAATGAAACATTCGTCTTCAAAGTGAAGATTATAGATTTTATTCATAAATTGGTAGCTACGTAAAATAACTTGGTGAATATGTTGAATACACTCAGCAAGGGAAAATTCCAAACAACTTGTGGATATTTTAAACTGATCAGAAATTGCAAATATGAAGGTCGGTCGATAGCAATCCGAAGTGACCTGAATTATAAGTGCATTTTATGGACTAAGAAATGGATTGCCTCCCTAAGATGTAGAGTCCCACATATGCAAATGAATAATTGTGTATTTTAATCAGTAGTTAAATATGCTCTCTCCTCCACTCTTGTATTCTCACTCAACAAGTTGGTTCGCTGATTTGAATCCCAACCCGTCATGTATCAGTATCAGATTTCATACAACATCACTTACAACACCTATCAATACAAATCATTCATTTCATGATGAATAATGTCAATGAATGGTTAAACGATGGATTACTGTGCACACAACAGTCAACGAGCTATCTACTATGCTATCGAAGTATACATAGAATTTTAAAATTTGAGAATACCATGTAGAAAGTAACGATTTATCACATGTAGGCACATGAAGGATAATCATCTAGATAAGAAATTACAACTTGAACCATCTTTACGACATTGAAGTTGCTTGATTGATTCGTATAGAATAGTGTATTCATACAATGTTCCATTATACGATAGTATAAAAACACTGAAAAATCTATTCTCATTCGTATGCTCATCAATTTACTAAGTTCGTCTAGTTTAGTGTGCGATCGTTCTCCTGGTCTGATGAATTTGATACAACCAATTTTGTACACCAATCTTCATAAATAACTATTCAATATAATCTGTATTCAATAATTTTGTATATTCAATATTATCATATGTATTCAATGAATTCGATGGATTCAACGACTGTCTATCATTTTTATGAGATGTCTTCCTTTTCAGCGACGAATCAATCGATTCAGTCCAATTCGGTGATACACCATAACATTTAGCTACTATAATTAGTAGTGTTAATTGTGCAATCATAACAAATAACATATGCCATACAAATATAATCGTGGTATACATCACTTTGTCATGATCATTTTCATTCCATGATGGATTGAATGGTGAATTTAATAAAAATCCTGTTTAACATATCCAAATAGGACGAAACGTGTGTCAAACTGGATTCCACAGCTAGCCACCATCCATCATTGCTTATAATGCTTGTGAATTAAGGCTATATAGAGGCAATACGAACAGTATGCATATATGCCAATTAGGGAATGACCAGTTGCAGTCCTAATACATCGATGGGAAGATTCAAACAAACAATACTAAAAATCAATCTTTTAGACTGTTACATAACTTCAACATGATATTTGAATTGTTTTTCTTCGAGGAATGTTTCATTGATACAATAAATATGATTATAGAGTAATACGAAATGACATAATCGAAGATGAAAGATTTCACAGATGAACTATCTTGATTCTAAACAAATCAAATATTCAATAAATTTGATCTAGAGGGTTAGTGAAGATTTGTTCAATTATTATATGAGATTTATCATGGATGGACCTCATCTTCATATGGAACACCATAACGTTGGATATCAAGAGCTCGATCAGCGATTGAACCCATAACATTCACTTATCGTGGTCAGCGCTTCATCATCAGCCTACAGGACTGTCATCACACGGTTGACACTACATGGTCAACAGTTATTATACCTGAATTTATAAAAAATGAATAAACAATCAATTAATGTAACAGAATGTATCTTTACATTAATAGTCAGGTCATTTGATGCCGTCCATGTATTACTAGAGGGTAAACATTTGCATCATTCAGAATGAAATTAGAAGAGAGAGAGAAAGAACAACTAAGATCATGTGACCTAATTATTATGATTAAATTAATCAATGAAACTCTTTATCGAAATTTCGTTTATTTTTCTTATGTGAGTGTCAACTCATTCACTCACTCACTCACACACGCACTCACTCACTCGGTTACCATAGTGATATTAAACTCTTTGGAATATACAATTTGATTGATTAAAAATATACAACATTCATTTTTGATTGTTAGTTTATTTAACCAATTAGAGGAATAATCTCAATTCAGACCTATTTAAAGGTGTATCATTAATAGATTACTATTAGATTAGATTCTATTTGAACTACTATCAGTTGTATGAATTATGGAATATAATCACCATGATATTCATCAACATGATGTGAATGTAAATTCTATGACAACAATTAATCATATAGCTAATGGAAATGAAGGATTATTTCTTAGTTCTTCTTATTTAGGTATATATCTATTATGTTTAGGATTATGGTGGTGGATTCAAGCATTGAGGCAACGTTATTCTTCTTCTTCTTCTTCTTCTTCCATAAAACATAATGATCATCATCATCATGATAATGATAATGATGGATATCATAGGAGTACTACAACAATTGGATCATGGTGTTGTCAATCTCGTTTATGTGAAGGTATATGTAAAATAGTTTGTTGCCTTATTGGTATCGTTGTGGAATTGATCACATTGAAATTAGGTCGTGATCATGAATATGCACAATTTCCATTTTATACAGCTATGACAACTGCAGGTTTATTAGATATACTCATGTCTACCATTATGGCACCACCGAAAGGATTGGATTCAATGATCTATGCATTACCATTCTTTGTACAAACTTATTGTCTAAGAGCTCAATCATATCAACAACCACATATCACAGAAACATGTCGTTTATTAATTAGTTATTGGGCATTTATAGTTGGTTCATCTATTCTAAATGAAATGATCATGAATGAGAATAAATCGTCATCATCATCATCATCCTTATTATGGATCTGGATCAAATGTTTCACTGTGATCTTTCATGGATCATGGATATGTCAAACAGGATTTTTATTAAATTCACCATTCAATCCATCATGGAATGAAAATGATCATGACAAAGTGATGTATACCACGATTATATTTGTATGGTATATGTTATTTGTTATGATTGCACAATTAACACTACTAATTATAGTAGCTAAATGTTATGGTGTATCACCGAATTGGACTGAATCGATTGATTCGTCGCTGAAAAGGAAGACATCTCATAAAAATGATAGACAGTCGTTGAATCCATCGAATTCATTGAATACATATGATAATATTGAATATACAAAATTATTGAATACAGATTATATTGAATAGTTATTTATGAAGATTGGTAGTAATAATAATGATGACAATACAATTATTGTTGCCATGGTTACTAATTATAGTAATGACATGTGATTGAACATTGAATTAGTTGGATTGTATCTTTAATGAATTGATATTGTGATTGTTGTCATGGTTGTTGTTGTTGTTGTTGTTGCGTTTTCTATTTTCTTCCGTTTTGTAAAAGTTTCATTGTTTATTCCAATGAAAAGATGATAAAGAGTTTTTTGTTTTATTTTAATGGTATGATATTTTGTTCATGTTTACTTGTATAGATTGTTTGAATATTCATAAGCAAATAGAACAAAGTTAATTTATAGATCATTTTAATGTTTTGTGAAAATCAATAATGAACGTGAGATGGTCATTACCATATTCGATGATGTCTTGTTCTTTACACAATCATACATACACACACTGGATATCTGTAAGCACTACCATCTTCAAATGAATGAAGATGGAATTCATCTAGTGAAACGATATATTGATATAAATAAGTGATAATTGGTCATATGAAAAGTTCCATCAACTCAATACGCGTAAACTATTCATTGGATTTACTGATTCTGATCAGAATGTGTAGGATTGATGGAATTCGATAATCTAGGATGTGTCTGTAAAGAGATCACTGAGAGTCATTGGTATCAATCAGTAAACAAATTGTTTACATTATCAGGAATCATATATGATTTTGTATTTGTGAACTGTTTCCGAATTCGGTGAATTGGAAAGCTTCACTTTAAGCCAATTTCATTGAGCGAGTCCAATCGAGTTTAAATGATTAGAAATAGTGTCTGACATTTCGAGTGTATAGACCATGAATCTGTAATTAGTCGAACGTCACTTGTTGGTTTACAGTTTTTGTTCACTTAGATTGCGGATTCGCTATGTAAACATCTAGTACATTGAAGTGGATATGTAGTGGGAAATTTCATTGATTTAATTACTGCATGTATTGATCTTTCTGCAATCTCATTTTCATTATTCATAGGAATGTATTTAGGTATTCTATGTTATCTGAAGTTAACATATTCCGATATCGGTGTGCAATTTCATTTGATTGATAATCTGTGAATTGGATGAGACACTAAGCATGGATCACCATCATCATTACAATAATCAATTAGATGCTGATATGTATCCTCTTTACTCTTCTTGTTTGATGTATGAACTTCAAAGTGTGTGTAATTGACGTTACCTGTTAGGTTTGATTGATCACCGTATAGTGATAACTTGAACTATAGTTTTGATGAGTGTTCAGATCTCTATATAAAGCATCAGTTCCCAGAAAGATTCCAGTAACACCTTGTTCATTGTTTCAACTAGCAGAATGACTAGATCAATCAGGAACCCTTACTGAATGATTAAAACTGTACAAAATCGGTTTACTAGACAGAGAAAATCGATCGGCAGACAAAAGAGGAAAGGGTTTTTCGGCGTTTAAATTATCGTATAATAGAATAGTGTATGGTCGAACGTTTCTATACGAATCAACCAAGCAACGTCAATGTCATAAAGATGGTTCAAGCTATAATTTCTTATCTATATGATTATCCTTTATGTGCCTATGTGGTATTCTCAAATTTTAAAATTCTGTGTTTACTTTTATATCATAGTAGATAGCTTATTTACTGTTGTGTAGGCGGTAATCCCATATTTAGCCATTCATTGACATTACTCTTCATGAAATGAATAATTTGTATTGAGTCACTAGACAACTGTTCTTTTCCAGTATGAAACTATTCAGTAATGCGAATTCGCGCCTCCACCATCAATGGAATTTAGGAAGTTCGGGTTTTTGAGTGATAGCTGAGGGTCCTGTATTCGAACATCGATGTTTGGAATGTGTAAATTATAGTTTCTAAATGGAAGACTTCAAACTGGGAATGGTTGACTTTTCTTGCCGGTCGACTCATTTTGTTCTACTGACAGGCGAAACCAGACTAATAGTGAATAAGTCTCAATTGTGGAATCGTAGAATGTGGTGTGGTGCGCGAGGTTATCATTCCAGACACACAAAGCATTTCAATATTCTATATGAAATAAAAGGAGATATAATCCCTACATCATATAAGGAAGTGAATGTGTAATGGAGCTCTAATGTGATGACATTCACTTATTTGTTTGCGGTCAACTGTTAACCAGTCAACATTAGTTGTTACAGGCTGTCCAATTATTTGTGATCTTCGGAGATCTTTCACTTCATATTGATCATTTGTGCTTACGATGCTGGAGCTAATCAATCTCCACAAACCTCTTCATCTTACAGAGCTGTTTGATTACTGAACTGTATTCATTTAGGTTTAAGCTTTGGGTACAGTGAAAATCACCCGTACACTGAAGTCTTTTGTAATTTTCGCACTTATGAAGAGATATCTTGCTTGTTCTTCAAATGATATAAGTGTGTGACTAAAAGTGACCTCCAGGAATCAGAGAACTAAACAACCAATAAGTGTCAGACACACATCAATTTCTTAACATTAATTCGTTGTATCCGAGACAATTGATTGGTTGATTGATTAACTAAGCTTTACATTTTACAAAATGAATTAATTCAAAGTGATTTTAGACAATTGGAGCAAAGGTCAATAAGTTTCAGTGATTTTAATCACAATTTATTGATCACTGGATGGTGATCAATGTCATGCGTGTCAACTCCTTCTTAGTGCTGATCGAATGCTATCGATCACGTTGCAATGTGACCACTAGTTTAGGTGGCTGGACACTGCTTGCAATAAGTTCATTTTATTTGTTGATATAACAGTCAATGGTAAATCGATAATTAAACTGTTACCATCCTTATTAGTAATAATTCGATTTCTATGTTACTCCATTCAGTCAACCATATTACTGAGTATAATTGTTATATCCGAACGAAGCATAAATGAATGGTGACTGTTAGGAGTTGTAATGGACTTTTAAAATACACATTCGCATTGTAAATTATTACGAAACTAGACTATGTATGTATATATGTTCATATTCCGCCTTCTACCATAAGCTATCATTTTACCCAGTGGCTACTGTTAGATGGTTTAGTATTCTTAATCCATTCTCAATCGATTAGCGATAGTCTCTCACACTGATAGTCACGTTTCTCTTAATCTTGTATTTCATGGTGTGATGCAGTCAGGTCTGCCTTTTTATAGACTAGGTTGGTCTGAAATATACGATTCACACAACAGAGGCTGGTATTTGTGTTGTGGACTGAGTGAGATGGGCTAGGTGAGAAGTTATTGTAAAGAGGAGAGGTAAGGACTTGTAGTTGACTTGAGGCTGTTCGTGCTGGTCTGTGCATCACTGGTTGAGCACGGAGACAAATCACATAAGTCGGTATGCAGATTGGAGATTTTACCACGTTATATTTAACGCGTTTTATGACATCACAATCCTGCTTGTCGCTCTTCTATGGCTAGTGTGTTTCCGAATCCCGGACACAGATTGAGTAGAACACAACGCAAACCACAATGTAAATTTGAAACTCTTCTTTGGTAGTATAAATATATCTATTTCTAAGAGTTATTATGCCTGAAGTCACGAGACCGATGTCTCTTCTAACAACCAGAACATCAAATAATATGGTTACATGCAATGTTTGGAGAATTCGAGCGACCGAGAGGAGTGATCAAATAGCTTTATAAATAAGGAGATATAAATTTGTGGTGCTCAGAATAAGTGTAATATATTGGAGGAAAGCTGTATAGTGGAGATTGGATTCGGAAGAGATGCTGCTGCACTCTGATTACGATGATGAGCATGCTTTACACACTCAGTGAGTTTCCTTAATGCTGGACTGATAAGCATGAAATACACTTATTGAGTAGGAACGTCATGGATCCAGGATCATCGAATGACCATGTGGAAGAAAGTAGGAAGTAATCACGATAAATTTTATCCGGTGTCTTGCAGTCACTAATGAACTGAATGAGGAATATAAAGACCAGTTTCTATAAGAGACTGCAGTCAATCATAGGAAAGTGCTCAGAAAAAGACCTGACTATATTTATTGGAGACCTTAACTTCACAGTCGGAGTGGACATCACTGGTTATGAAGATATGAAGTGACGACATGGACTGACTGAGAGAAGTAAACATCAATTATAACAGATTAATGAATTTATGTGCATTTAGTAAAAACGTTATAGGCGGCACAATACTCACCCACAAACGCACATACAAAGCTACATGGTTCTCATCGAATCAAACCAGACAGAATCACATCGATCGTTTTCGCATCACGGAAAATATTAGAAGTACAATGGAAGACGTGAAAATTGGGAGATCAGCTGGATTCTATCCATCAGACGAAACATTCAACGTGCGGTTATCAGTGAGAACAAGAACATGTATTTCTTCCTATTTGGGGTTGGCGAAATGGATGAACTTTTATCTCGAGTATACCTTTATCTTCTAGATTCCTCCGTTAGTCATAAACTGAGAATTCTAAGACTTGTGATAAAAGGTTATGTAGAAAGATGCTTACACAGCTTCATGGATTCGTGTTTTGTATTCCTAAACATCAGCAACTAGAAAATGCAAGCCATTAAATACGACCTTACAACGGTGAGTAATTTTATGCCTAACTCAACTTAGTAGGTTAGTGAGTTCCACTTTGATGTCTGAAGCAATAGACACTGTATCAGAGTCTCACTGTGAACATCAAAACTGAGATGTAAGTACATTCAAGTGAGATGTCAATGCTTACATGCATGACACCAGTTTTGAACGGTTCGAGTGTATACTTCTGAGAGATGAATGAAGTTGATAGAGTTTTTTTCCACGACTTAGAAATTAGAAAAAACAGAACTTGTTCTATGAAATTTCAGTAGTTATTGATTTCTCAAATGATGCGCAAATCCTATTAATTCAATTCTATCATTCTATGGAAAATTCCAAATAAAGACAACAGATTACTTGGTTTCTTCATCGATGAATTCTAACTCACAAGTCTTCTACTATTGATCGGAAAAGAGAACAACTGTATGTGATGTGAAGATTACCGCTTAACAGAAGTAAATTTAGGACTGTTTGGAAAACTACTGTTTGAAGATGAACAAATTTTCAAGTGGTGGAGCACATGATGAATAAAGGACTATGAGAAGAGGAGAAGTTGTTTATACGAATGAGGGGATTAGGTTATACATCAGAATAGAAAAAGGAAAACTGTGGTTTGATAGGGTGAACGAAATATAGCAACTATCCCCCAACGAAATTCGGTTATGGTTAATTTTGGTTAAGCTCTTTTCTTAACTTACTTACTTGTTATTTGAATAGCAACAATTAACATTATGATCACTCGATCACATGACAAACTCTAGCTAAAA